CCCTTGTCATTACTAGTGTAAAGGTCAGTGTATTCTAATGTTGAATGAAAGCGAACACATATCAGAGTCAGATATTACAGGTGATTTCCATTTTATGATGTGTTGCTGGATTAAATTTTTATAGAATGATAGCTGCTTTAGTAAACCATTGAGCAGCAGCTATGGTCCCTTCCCCACTTTTTTATTTTACTTTCCTTCCTTATCCCCTCCTCTCCCTTACCCTTCATTTCCTATCCTGGGGATGAACTCAGGGCCTTTGCACAGAGCTAAATCACCAGCCATTTCTTCTTTTGAGACAGAGACTCGAGTTTTAGTTCAGGCTGTCTGCAAACTCCTGGTGATCCTTCTCCCTCAGCCTCCTTTGTGCTGGGATTACAGGCATCATGCCTGGCTTTATGTTTTGTTTTGAGACTTGGTCTTGCTAAATTGCTTGAGCTGGATCCAAACTTTTTTTTTTTGTCCTTAATTTGTATTTTAAAAAATTAATTTATTGGTTTTATATATATGTCTATATTGATCATATTCATCATAGGAAATTTGTGCCTATAGTATCTTGAGTCTTTTTTCCCTATTTCTCACCCCTCCCTTCAACTCCCCTTCCCCTCCTAATTTACAAAAGCTTTGTTTCCTTTTTTTACTTCTCTTATTTTTCCTTTTTCCTTTCTTCGTTTATTCTTTCCCTCTTTTGTTTCCCTTCCATATGAATATTTTCTTCCTATTTCCCAGTATCTGTTATAAATTTTGTTCTTATTTATCTTTTTAGTTTCTCACACTAAAGAAGTAATGTGATAGTTAAACATATGTAGCCAATTTATTTCACTTGTGAGTGTGGTCTTAAGGTGCATCCATTTGCCAAGAAATGTTTCAAGTTTATCCTCTTTTATGGCAGAGTAGTATACTCCATTGCATTTTTTTAAAACAACCTCACATTTTCTTTATTCATTCATCTGTTGATGGATACTTGGGTTTTCCCAAGATTTAGCTTTTGTGCATTGTGCTGCTATAAACATCGGTATATCACTAAGGTATGATGCTTTTAATTCACTTTGGAAGGTACCAAGAAGGGAAATAGCTGGGTAAATGGAAACTCTTAACTTTTAATTCTTTGATGACTTCCACAGTGGTTGTGCCAGTTTACACTCCCACCAGCAGTGGAGAAGGGTTTCTTTCTCCCTACGGTCCTGCTAGCATTTGTTATCAGTTGATTTATTGGTAATAGCCATTCTTTATAGAGTGAGATAGAATCTCAGTGTTTTAAAATTTGTATCTGTTAAATAACTGGTGATGTTGAACATTTTTTCATATGTTTATTTGCTGTTTGTACTTCTTCAACTGGGAAATATCTATTCCTTTCAGATGCCCATTTTTGGATTGGATCTTTAAAGTCAGGAGTATGACTTTTTTTTTTTTTTTAGTTCTTCATACTAGATATTAGTCCTTTGTCTGAGGAACAGCTGGGAAAATTCTTTTTCCCACTCTGTGGGTTATCTCTTCACTTGGTAGTTTCTTTAATTTGTACTACTATACAAAAGCTTTTTAATCTGACGGGATCCCAGTTATTGATTCTATATATTTCCTGTGCTATTGGGGTTTTGTTTATAAAGCCTTTGCCTATACCTATGTCTTTAATAATAGTTCTACCTATTCTATCTTCTAGCATATTTAATGTTTCTGTTTTAATATTTAGATGTTTGATCCATTTTGAATTTAGTTTAGTGCATGGTAAGAAGTATGAATCGAGGCTTAATCTTAAGCCTATATCAACCCAGTTTTTCTAGCACCATTTATTAAAGAAGTCTGTCTTCCACCAGTGAAGGTGTTAGAGCCCTTTGTCAAAAGTATTGTGGTTGAGTGTGTTTGGAATTGTTCTGCATTTTCTAACCTGTTCCATTGATCCTTGTGTTAGGTTTTTTGCTGGTACCATGCTGTTTATATCTCAGCAGCTTTGTAGTATAATTTCAAGCCAGGGATTGTAATACCCCTTCCCTTGCCTTTGTTGCCCAGAATTGCTTTTGCTCTTCTAGATCTCTTTGGGTTACAAATGAATTTGAGGATTGTTTTCTCTATTTCAGTGAGGTATGCTGTTGGTATTTTCATCAGGATTGCATTAAATCTGTATAATAATTTTGGAGGTACAGCCATTTTCACTATATTGGTTCTTGCAGAAAGGATACCTTTTCATTTTCTGATACCTTCTTAGCTCTCCTTTTTCAAAGTGCTAGAAGTCAATCTAATGAAAGAAGTTAACAACCTTTACATTGAGCTCGAACTTGTAATTCTGGTTCAGCCTTGAGGAGGGCTAAAATTACAGACACATGCCACTGCATCAGGCTTTAACTGGTGTTTCTTGACTATTAGGTCATCGTCTAGAAAGCTTACCTAAGTTAGATATTGCCCCTGTGGTAAAATAGATGAGTAAGGATATGAGGATGATTGTGTTTAAATTGTCCGACTGGTTGAGGTTTTCTAACTCAGATATTCTCTCAGGGAAATGATCTGCTTTACTTAGGGAACTGGCACGAGGGCCCTAGTCTACTGAAGAGCCCACTTGTACTGTTTTAGATTTCCTCATTTTAGGCTCATAGAGGTTTGAGGTACCAGTGTTTTGTCCCTAAGAGATGAATTATCAAGTATCTAAGAGAATAGCAGATTGGTTTTTTAATTGCAGAGGACTGTAGTAATGACTCCTAGTAAATGTTTTAAATGGTATGCCTTCTGCAGTCTGCCTTGTTCTGCCCCGTTATTACTATAGCTCCCACCTAACCTCCTGACCTGCTGACCTGCCCAAAACTTTCTGGAGCTGGAACAGATAGTAAAAGAGCCTGGTAAATTTGTGGCTGCTGCAGTGCCAGTAGGTTCCTACAATATGTCCTGTTGTTGTGCTTGGAAGACAGAGCCCCCATCCCTTCTCAAATGATGCTTCCACATTGTGTGTAAGGATTTCTTGCAAACCAGAAAGTTAGCATGTTCCTAGGAAAGTTGCTGGCTTGTGTTGACTGAGCTTTATAGTCATTTTAACACTGGCAGAAGTGTTATCCTCACTGCTTCAAATGAAACTGCAAAGATGCTTGTATGAAATATCGTATTAGATAGCAAATCAAACATATGGGCACTGAACTGGAGGGTGTGTTTTGTGGCAGTATATGGTATTCTAGCATGTGGAGTTATATTTATGGAAATTCGTTGGCTTGGCTTGTGGCAGGGACATACATTCATTATGAAATATCAAACTGTAAGATAAATAAAAGCGAAGAATTCAGCTGTTCTGTTTAATGGTTTTCAATACAAAGTCATCTGCTCAAATAGCCTAGCCTGTGTGATGAGAGGTATTGTAAGCCATTGTAGCCATACCTTTTGTTTTCATTAGTGTCAGGTTTTGAAAATAATCAGAATCATGTTGAAAGAAATGGGAACTTTATCTTTTAATATTATTTTCTTTTTATTCCATTGTATATGGTATAAATTACTGCATTAGTTTGTCTTACAGGGAAACGTATTAAGATTTTCTTTATTATTGGTTCTTTTTATTTATTCAGTATTTCTATAGTGAAATTGGCTTTTAAGTATGTAACTGGTATGCCTTAATTTCTTGAGTGTGTTTGTTGGCTTATGGGGATCAAGTTCTTGGAGTTCTCAGATGAACCATATTGTGCCATTAACATAGTGACTTCACCATTCTCAGCTCTGGAATGCTCTTGGCTGTCTTGATATTTTGCTTTTCTTTTCTTTTGCTTTCTTTTCTTACAGTTAGAGGGAAAAGTCAGTAGACATCTCATTTTAAAATTCTCAATTTTTGAAAAATAGGAAATACTATCAATATTATGTTATACAAGAAAGGATTTTCCTAGGAACAATAATTTTGACAGTTCTCAGATTCATGTAAATTAGAGAAGATTGATTTTAGCTACTTCGGTATTTATCTCTGGAGTTTACAATACATTCTGCTTTTTTTTTTTTGTCTTTTTCCTTTTTATCAGTACCAGGGATCGAACTCATGACTGCCTGCTTGCAAGGCAGGTGCTTACGCCGCTGAGCTAAATCCCCAGCCCCCTACATTCTGCTTTTTAACATTACCTATTTCATTAACTAAGAAAATACTATTCTGTATTACATATTTATTAATTGTCTTTCAAGAACTTATCTTGGTGGTTATATATGCATACGGTTGTTTTCTATGTGTTTGTGTTAGCTTTCCATCATGATAACAAATACCTATAATGATTGCCTTATAAAAATAAACATTTTGGATCACTGTTTTGAAAGCCTAGTCCATGATTGGCTAGCTAGCTGCATGATTTTGGATCTGAGGTGTTGTTCACCTCATAGCCAGGGAAAGAGAGAGAGGAAGAGGCCAGGGTCCCACAGTGTCTTTCAGTGGGATGCCTCCTGGACCTAAAGACTCCTTATTTCTTACACATACCTCTAACACATGGGCCTTTGTTTTAACAGAGTTTATTTGATGGTGAATGTGCCCCCAAACCCTTGCAAAAATGATAAATGAATTTGCTGATGTAATGGTCTGTATCTGGCAGAATATAATTGGGACATTCTAACTTCAGTTGTTCTGAACTTATAAACATGTGTACAGTGTATATGCAAACCACAGACCTCCTACAAAATATTAATGAGTTAGCTTAGACTACATGAGTTCATTTGAATTTTTATTGTTCAATGATAATTATGTCTCGATACTCTTGAGTATAAGTATTTTTGAATATCAGTGTTAGGAACTTTGTCTACTAGATTTTTATGACATCAGTACTTGATGTCTGATAAAATATGATTGTTTCAGGCAAAGTCAAATTATCCTTCGACTTCACTGATAATATGTGAATACAAGGCAGTACAAGATGACAGTTCATCTATTGAAGAGAGGATTAAAAATACTGGAGTCAACTGCTTAGCAAAAGTCCTACTTTGTGTTAATAAGTCGAATTTACACTTAATCTCATTTAATTGCATATTTGATTTTGTGTTTTCTTTGCTTGACTTTTTAACAGATGCCACCTCAGTATGGACAACAAGGTGTGAGTGGTTACTGCCAACAAGGCCAACAGCCATATTACAACCAGCAGCCACAGCCCCCACATCTACCACCCCAGGCACAGTATCTGCCATCCCCATCCCAGCAGAGATACCAGTCACAGCAGGTGAGCACAGCCTCTGTTCCCCAGCTTTCGTTTTCTGCTCCAGCTCTGTATTCAGAAGCAAAGATGTTCTGCAAATAGTCCTGTTCTATTCTGATAATTGTGTTTACAGGGGGGAAATGTTAGTTTTGAGAAAGTGCAAACCTATAATCTAATCTAACTTTTTCTCTTTTTTTCTGTCTTCTTCCCTCTCTTCTTATTTCCCTTTCTCCCTTTATTCACTCCTTTCTGCATGTCTGATATTGATGAATAGGAAGAATGAGTAGTTTGATAGATGCTTGCTTTTGTGGTTGGTGACAGCAGAAAATGTCACTCATTGCAAATTGTCATTTGTGTTTGAAATCTTTCAAGAAAGCATACTAATGCTTTGTTAAGGCTCATTCAGGAAAATGATTTTGCTGATCATTTAATCCCACTTGCATAGTATTTTTATCTTGATCTTTTTGGTTTTGTTTTAGTAAGTTTTACTGCATGAAAACATTGTTGCCTTTTGACAGTAGTATTCTCTTTAAACTAGCTTATAAACAGATAATTACTGCAATTACAGTATATTAAGCTACTAACCGGAATCATCTGCTTTGAATATATTAAACCATTTCTACTTTGAATCAGCCTCTTCACTCTTTAAGTTTCTAGGCTATATGTTTTTGTTCACATATTAAGAAAAATAATACAAAGAACATAATATATTTGATAAAATGATTCAGTTTCATTTTGTTTGTAGACTGTTGCTTATGAGCAGAGTTAAGAACGAGTTGTGAGAGCAGGATTGTCTTTCTGGACCCAGATAGGACTCATAGCTTTTCCAATCATAATAAACACAAAGTGAAACTTTCCATTTCGTATTTTCCTCTCCTCTTCTTTTTCTCTTATGAGGTAGAGTGACAAGGGAAGATGAACATATGTGACATGGACTTTGATCATTTTGTAGGTCTACTCATATGGATTGAATAGTTGTTGATCTTAAGCCAACTATATAAATATACTGAGTTTAATTTAAATCAACTTTGAATTTCTTAAGTATTTTATTAAGTTTCTGGGAGTCTTCTGTGTGATTTTGATTACAGAGTTCTAGAGTTTGTGGTTTTAAAGAAATGTTAACTACTGGAGACTTTGAAGATCCTATACAATCTTACTTTCTATATATATATTTTCAATATTTTGGTAATATATGTAGAAATTATAGAAGTAGCGATGTACATTATTCAGGGTTAACTGCTAGTAGTTTTTATTAAAGTATGTGGACATTGTAAAGCCTTATAACATCAGTCTGTTAAGTGACAGATTGATGCCTAGGTTTTTGATAAAGTTATTGGCTTTTTAAAGAGACTTTCTGAACATTATTGGTCTTATCTGTAGACATGGAATGTTTTGTCATGTTATCAAAATTTAAGGACTCAATAGAGGGATTACATTACTCATTTTACTCTGTAGTGCGCTGAAGTGAAACTGTGATTGTAACAACCTGTCTGATTAAGAATTCTGAATGCCTGTTATTTCCTTTAATTTCAAACTCAAAATTTGTTTCCTTTATGGAACATTCACTGATGACTTCCAGCAGATGGCAATTAGTTATTTAATATCCTTCACATTTAAATATGGAAAACACTATAGATAAAATCTTTTTAATGAATACTGTTTTACTGTGCTTAATTTACAGGTATTTCTTGGTTTGATACTACCATTATTTTATTGATTTGAATACAGTAATATGATAATGCTGTAATACTATGTACCACCATGACTTACATAAATATGGTAACTTTTGCTCATGCTGAGTAAAATCTAGCATTACTTAGAATACATTACAAATATTTATGTGTTCAAACTCATGAGCTAAAAGATAAGAGTATTTTAAAAGTTTCATTAAACTCACAGTAGTATTTAAAAAAAAAAAAAAGCTAGAGACCTTTAAGTGACTTACGCAGATGGTCTGGTAGAACAGGAAGAGTCTTGATGTTTAGGAAGTTGGAAGACCAGGTTTATATCTGGAAAGTTACTGTAAGAAATTAGATCTAACATTGCAGATCTGGTTAACACCTCTAAAAACCCCACATCAATCCTTAAATGAAGTTAAAATTGCCAATAGAATATTACCAAAATCAAGCCAGATTTTAATAAGGTATACAATCAAATTCATGTTTATGTTTAAATGCCTAAGAAGCTTAACTATATTTAATCAATCAGCATTTCATAACAATCAGACTATTCTTTCATGCAGGGTCTCTTTTTGTCTCCAAGCACAGTTTCCACAACCTATTGATTTTGCAGATGGTCAGCAAGTAGTATTTTATGTCTTTTGTTAATGCAGTTGATACAAAAGTTAATTTTAGGGTTCCATTAAGGTCTCATTTTTTTGTCTTTAACATTTTTTAATGTGCTTACTGCCTTGACTAATCAATATATTTACATGCTTCAATTAGAAAGCACAAGTAAAGGTTACACAGCAGAATCTCTTTCCCATTTTAGTTCTCCCTACTCACTTCACCACCTACCCCACCCTTTGCCAGATAACCATTATATTAGTTTAGTGTATGTCTTTCTGGAGATTGTACAGTCTCACATTAAATTTCTACTGTATTTTTGTTCACATGATAGCATACTATAATTTACTATGCATACTCTTGTTTTTTTTTTTTTAATCTCTCTACTCCCTTAAATATATTTTCTAGAGATCTTTTCAGAGGAGAACATAGTTATCCCTCATTATTTTCTATAGCTCTGTTTCCTTATACAGGCATACATATTTAACTATTTTTCTTTGATGGGGTTTTAGATTATTTCTAGTTGCAAATATGCAATTTGAATAGTGCTGCCTTGATAAATTGTGCATATATCACTTTAAACAGACAAATAGTATGTGTAGGATAAAATTGCTAATAGCAGCAGTGCTGGGTAAAAGGGAATGTGCATTTGCTCTTTCTGGTAGATAGATACTGTTTCTGGTAGGTAGATGGTAGAGGATATGCCAGTTTATTCTCCCATGCTAATCCATATGTTACAATGTGGTTGTTTATATCTTATCAGTATCTGATAGTACAGTTTTAATTTACATTAATCTTATTAGTTGTGGTATCTTACATATTTAAATATATGTGTTTGGTCTTTCTAAATGAATTTATGAAAACCCTAATTGTATAAGGAAGTTGATTTTTTTTTTTTTTTTTTGGTGTCAGGAATGGAACTCATGACCTCGCCCCTGCCAGGCCAGGTGCTTATGCTGCTGAGCTAAATCTCCAGCTGTGATGAATTATTACTGCCCCAATCTTGTCATTTGTCTTTTGACATTAATTATGGTCATTTTTTTGTAAAACAAAGTGGTTTTGTTAAAAAAAAAAATTGTGTTGTATGATCTCTGTATTTTTTTAGTGAAAGTTCAAAAGTCCTTCCATATTCTAAAGTTATAACTTTTTCCATGTTATTTTGTACTGTTTTCATATATTTGTTCTCATTTTTCACTCTTTGCAGTCTGTAGAGATACAGACTGACTTAGTCCTACTTTTGTTTGTTTGTTTGTTTTGTTTCTTTTCTGCAGATGGCTACTTGATTTTTTAACTACCTTTTTGTATGTGTGTGTAGGTTGTTGTATCCTTCAGGGTTCTCCAGAGAAACAGAAGTGGTAGGAAGTGTGTATATGTGTGCAGTTTATTATACGAAATTGTATAGTAACAGAGCCTGCCAAGTTAAAAAAAAATGCAAAATTTGCATTGTTGGCTGGCTGGCTTGGCTGGACACTAGCAGTGCTGAGGGTACTGATGAGGTTGAAATTGGAAGGCAAGCTGCTGAAGTCTGTCCTGCTATGGAAGGCCCCTCTTTTTATTATAGTCTGATCTTTATAGTAATTGAATGAAGCATACTCACATGACAGAGGGCAATCTGCTTGGCCAGGTCATCAATTTAAATTGTTAACTTTGCACAAAAATAGCCTCCCAGTCAAGTTGATACTGGAGTGTGTGTGTATATGTTTGGGAGAGGGGTTGTGTAGTCCTAGAGGTTGAACCCAGGGTCTGGTGCATGGTAGGTACTACCACTGAGCTATAGCCCAACAAAATGTAACTTTAACAGCTATTCTTTCCTCCATTCATTGGAGATGTCACTTTTATCATTTGCTGAATTTCCTCAGATACAGCCTTCTGATTTATTCTGGAATTTGTATTCTTTTTCCTTTGGTCATTTTGTTAATGTATTAATGCTATAGTGTTTTATCATAGTTTCATGTCTGATGGTATTAGTATATCCTCGTTATTCCTTTTCAAAGTTGTCTTGGCTATTTGTGTTTGCTTTGTTTGTGGTGGGGGAGAGAGGTTCTTTTTGAGACAAAGTTTCCTTCTACAGTTTCATACTGAACTGAACTTACTTTGTAGCCCATGCTGGCCTCGAACTTGCAGTGATCCTATTCCTCAGATTCCCAAGTTCTGGGTAATATAAACTATCCAATTCTTGCTGTAGTTTTCCCTAAAAATTTTGTCTTTTTTGTTAATATAATTGAGTTTTTCTTTAATTATATCTTTTTGTTTGAAACAGATGGGGTTTATTAAGGAAAAAAGATAACACAGAGAAGTAACTTTCTTGTACAGTTTTGTCTGTTGAAGCCTATTGACCCAATGGCTGGAATATGTAATACAAGGTTAAATTTATTAAGCTTCAGGTGCTGGGAGCTTCAGGTCAGGGAAGGTGCTGTAATAAGGAGCTTTAGGAACCTCATGAAAAAGTAAGGGCAAAGGTTGAGATTGGGGAGAAGTGTTTAAATAGGGTTGTGTGTCTCCTGGATGACTCTTAAGAGGGGATTTAGCAAAGCAAGAGTTGAACCTCAGTTTGTTGCTCTCAAAGAACTAGGAGCATTTGTGAGGATTAGATATTTTCATTTTTAGAAGGAGGCAGAAGAATTTAAGTGGGTCACAGGTATCATTGGTAAGGAGTGGTGTTAGAAGAGCAGTTGCTTAGCTGTTTGTATTTTGTTTGGCCCATCATTTTCTTGTTTCAGTTCTTTGTGTGTTATAGGA